TACCTAAGTCTAGCCGTTCTTGATATATTTAAAATTTTATGTGAAAAATTACAGATACAGCCACTCGAATAACTATTCATTTTTTTGTCTATTCAATTGATTGCCACTCTCAGTTGCCACGACAAAAGTGACCATTTTTGGACCAACTTGTTTAATGTGTCTATTAGAGTCTACCAAAATTCCTCAAATTGACTTTGTGCATGCGTGAATTTCAACAGCAATTATGGAATTTATTAAACAAATTTGGAATTGGGTGGGAAAAACACCCTGTATGCGGCAAAATTCTGTAATTTTGACATTTACTCTGTGACTGGTCATGTTACTTTGGCATGCTCAATATATATTCGAAGACATGCTCACATTTGCAGGACACCCTGTCAGTCTGCTAATATTAATAAAATGATATCAGCTTTGTTTTAACTGAGACACATTAGGTATACTCATATATCGGTTCCAGGAATCTGTTTATACCATTAGAGTAATAAAATAATTAATTTTCTAATGCAATTAGATTCCATTTATTTGTGCAATTATTGTAAATTAAAGTGAATTTATAAATTCATATAATATGGGCCTTTCCCAATCACTAAAAAAGATCTAATAACATTAAGGTTTCCTGCAGGTTTTTTAAATATTTTGTTGCGTATGTTGAAATGTTATTTGAATGTTTTAACTCTACACCATTTTGCAAGTTTCAAATAATTACTGTTTAACATAAAAACGATAAAGTTTTTGTTAAGTTACATGCAAGTTTCAGCAAGCAAACAATGCCTGCTGAAGAAGTTGCATAGTTTTTTTACATTGTAGGTAAGAGGCGGTATAGTACGAAATTGTTTAAAATATTCACAGATGTATTTAATGTATTACCTGTAGCAGCTTTAATTGATGATAAGATTTTCTGTTGTCATGGCGGCCTCAGTCCAGATCTTCTACACGTTGGGCAAATTAGAAACATAAAACGACCTACAGATGTTCCTGTAGAAGGTATGAATATGTTTAGAGTTGTTTTTGTTCGAAAATTGTTTTTAATTTAAACATTAAATCAAATTATTTTTTGTATGTATTACAAATTATTTTTTCCTTTTCTTTACATTGAATATTTCTCATCTTGTTCAACTACTTTTTGGAATAAAACTAATAAATATTTATTTAACATTAGGGGCATTTATGCTACTAACTTATTTACAGGTTTACTGTGTGATTTGTTGTGGTCAGATCCCAGTCCTGATTTTGGTTGGACTGAAAATGATCGAGGAGTATCATTTTCATTTGGTCCTGACGTAGTAAACAAGTTTTTGCAGAAACATGATTTTGATTTAATTTGTAGAGGACATCAAGTAATAACTATTTATGATTATTTCTATTTATTGATATAAAGTGCTTTCAATTCACATTTTTTAAATATTGTAAGACGTAATATGTATTACATCTGCAACATATTTTTTTAATTTTAGGTAGTTGAAGATGGCTATGAATTTTTTGCTCAAAGAAAATTGATAACACTCTTTTCGGCACCAAATTACTGTGGTACATTCGATAATGCCGGTGCACTTATGTCAATCAACGATGAGCTCTTATGCTCGTTCCAGGTAACATTCGTAACAAAATAAATAAAATAAATAGTTATTAATATAGTTATGTCCTGACCTTCTTGAACTTACCTTACTTCATATTCGACGTCAATTCAAGTATTGAAGCAACTAGTTTTAATTTATTTATTGATACATTTGTTTAGGTTTTTCGATGAGACCAAAACTTGTTCACAGTTCACGTACCCGCCATAAATTATATATATAAACATAAATACTACTAATAAATGATCTTAATGCTGTCTCGCTTTTGCTGATTATTCTTTATAGAAAAATCGTTTATTTGCAAAGCACAAATATACCGTCAACGCAAAAGTCATGGGCAAGTAGATGGCAAATGCAACAAGCAAACGTGAGGTGTCTTTAAAAAAAATTCCGATAAATCTACAATCGATTCGGCAGCATTTACACCAACCTAATAATTTTAAATACGAACATAAATAATCAACATTGCTCTAAATTATGTAGTATTCTAAAGTTGTTTCGCATTTTATGGTTGCTTGAGGTTCTCCAAGGCACAAAACACAACAAAAAAGATTCGACTTATTACACAAATCTCATGCATAATTGTTTATATGTTGGTAGTCAAATTTCGTCACTGCTGACGTGCGACCAAAGTTATAGCGTACGTACTATATATAAAAGTAGGTACTTATGAAAGCTGCTTTGTCGATTCGGTAATCAATTTGATATAAATGAGTAACATGATCAACAAAATAGCCGAAAAACGGTAGCCATAAATGTGTGATACATTTGTTTAGTTTGCGAATAATCAACAAGCAAATGCCACTAAAACACCAGCGTTCAAATTTTAAATTAAAAAATCACAAGAATCTAATGTGGTAATTACAAGAAAACATAATGAAGCATTCATCATGACAACACAGCAAATGAGGGGAATATCCGGTAGTAAAATTATAGTAAGGGGAAGGAAACTCGTTGGACTTGTAACCACGGCAATTTCTCGAGTTTTGAGTGATAATAAGTGATAATTGTGATATTAATAAACTGTTACGCTAAATTAAATCGTGTAAAGTGGTTTCATTGCCAGGAAAATCGGCTTGAATGTTTTTAACCTGTACTGTCTTGCACATTTATAAACAGGGACCAGCGGCGTAAGTTATTCTGAATATACAAACCAATAGTCAAATTTGATCCCTATTGAATCGTATCCAAATGTTGGAAAAATGTGCGTTACTGTTTAGCATTTTGAGTTGAAAAGATATAATGTAGAAGTGGAGGTCATAAAAACCAAGAACATTTGATGCTTATAATAAATCGAGTAATACAGATATGGCCTAAGATTATGGCTATCCGCCAGGCGAATTGCTTTTCGGATTAAGTCAATATATCGATCAGTACATACTTTTAGTTCTTTTATCCCTTCCACTTGCTTTCATTGATAAATCGACGATCGATAGAATTCAATGTTCCTCCCAAACAAATCCAGAATTGTGAATGGCTAGCTTTGGCAATCCTAATAATTGTTATTTTTTCAGATTTTAACGCCGAAAAAGAAACGAAGTTCCTAGCTTAAAATTTCCTTTTACGAAAATAAATGATATAAGTTATAGTTCATATCATTTAGAAAAATAAATTTTACAAATATAGAATGTATAAGTCTTTACAATTACATATTAGGTTACAACCACTGTAGTTAGCACAAATAAGAATAAAACGTTTTTCCCAGCTAAGACAATTTTGTTTAAAAATGCGAATTTATCACATCATAAATGAAATGGAACGTTCATACTTAGTCACATACAGGGTGATTCATTAACAATAGGAAATTCAGAAATTGGTAGCATTTTACGTCAAATGATGGCCATTGGCCATCAGTTAAAAACTAAAAAATTGTGCGGTAAGCTCATGAGCGGCGGTAGCTACTACACTTAACTTTAGTTCCAAATTGAGCTCAAAACCTAAAAAAACAAACATTTCCACTCAAAATATAAATTTTTGTTTAATATCGACTTTTTAATGAATTTAATTCAATCAAGGTTTGTTTCATTTATAACTTCGCATTTTCTTAAAACCCAGTGTTGGTTGCATCTATTTTTTCTTAAACCCAAATCGAAATATCGACGTGAAGCAAGAATACTTAATTTATGTAGTAGTAGCAATAGTAGTATTGTGGAGAGACCCGGTGGGTCCGGCGAGTAGGCTTTAAAGGCCCTTTTCGCCAATATACCACTCCTGATCGTCACCAATCAGGCATCCCGTCTCCCTGAAAAAGTCAAGGATCGGTCGCCACTCCAAGAAAGACAATTCGATGCGGGAGACTGTGTGGTCCCAATGAGGCGCCTTCCAGTTGACGACCAGTAACGGCAGACTCCTAATAGATGGTATGATGTTTCCTTCGCTATTCCACATTGGGGACATACGGGACTATCACCAATTCCTAGTAGGTGTAGGTGTCTGTTTAGACCAAAGTGGCCTGTGGCCTGCCATGACCCCAACCAGAGTTCTCAGGGCCCAGCGACTCCTTGACATCAACCATTTAGATGTTGACTTGGCGTCACTTGGAGTTCCGATCAACTCTTTGGCTTGTCTACACCGTTCCGCCTTTGTCTTTGCCATTCTTAAATGACCAATTGTCTGAAAGAGCTGAGACAATGCTTGATTGCGAGCTTTTAATTTGAGAGATATTGGAAATTTGTCATATATGATGTATGCATTATACATACATATGTTGATTTTGTCACCTCAAAAACGAAGCCGTTTTAGATTTATGTTGATGTATGATATTTTCATCTTGAAATTGAATTTTCTGTCGACCGTTAAAGTCTTGCTACTGGAACCTGTCCCACTCTGAATATATGCATTGTACGTAATGTAGAAAACACATATTTTTCTTGGTATTCGCCAAAGCCGAATCCCCAAGAAGAAAAACATCTTCCAATTTTTCTTGGTACTGAATCCAAATGAAAAAGTTTGCTAACAATACAGCCATTTGAAAGTAAGAGTAATACACAATATAAATGGCATGACAGTGTATTTATTATGCAGTTATGTTATTCATTAAACCAAAATTTCATTTATCGAATTGGAAATCGACTAGTATATAGGTATAGAAATGAATATCACATGCGTTAGTAAAAATGAAAAAAATATGTTAGTACTCATAATCGGTATGTCCTTCAATTTCAACATTTTGTTGCAATACAACTGTCAGTTGTCTTAGAATATAACAGAGAATACTAACTCCCATTATAGAAGAGATGATCATTATATAAGATATCTGGCCACCTAAAAAAAGATATAACTGTGGTGTTATTTTGTGCCGTTATGGTAAACTTACCCAATTTCCGGTGTTTTTTCAATTTAACTTCGTATTCTCGACACGATTCATTAATTTTGTCAGTTAAATTTATGAGCGTATGGTTTATGTTTTCAGTTACATTCCTTTGGGAGTCTAAACTGCAAAAATGTAATAAAGTTATGCGCCAAATAAGCTTGAAGTACTCCTGGGTATTTGTAAAAAATGAGGTGACTTTTTTGTAGTTGTTTGGATAAAGTGGTCAAACGTTACCTACTCATAAAAAATGTATATGATTTTTTTAGTTGTTTGAACAACGTGGTCCCATGTTACTCCTAAAAAAATTTGATGACCTTTCTTTAGATGTTCAAATTCCAGTCTCGGCTATCGTAAACTTTTAATCTGCTGTAATAAATGAGTTATATCTCATTAACGGATGAGTAATAACTCATTCACTCAGAGAGCAGTAACAACTCACACGCAGCTCAACACAGAGTTCCCAGGCCTAGTTTCAAGGCCTAATGCGTTAAAAATACTAATCACTAAATTTACTATCTATCGTTGATTGTTTCCGTCAAAGTCAAAATTTTATTAATCGTTTCTTATAAGTATTGTCTTCAGAATCGCTTCAGAAATCAGCAGTTCAGTACTGGCTACTTGTACTTTCCTCGACAACTTTCACTTTCTCAGAGGAATCAACTTGTTTGTGTAACAACACGGTATGTATTTTGAACGTTTATTATGCAAAAGCTTTGACCAATTTGGAGTCACCAACAAAAGTAAACTTTATGGATGTTTGGCAAAAAGGCAGTTAGTCGACTTGCCTCGACACATGATCTACTTTTTCATCAGAAATTTATAGAATCTCTTAGTTTTCCTAAATAAAAAATAAATATATATATATGTCGGAAGATTTGCCGGATTTTCAATTTTCAACTAACAAAATAACAAAATATGCGGAACATTTTTTTCTAGCTTTAATTGCAATTCTACACAGAACGCTTATAAATTTAATTGCAACCTTTCATTTCAGCGTAAAAATTTCCTAGTTACTTATTAAGTAACGGTCAAGTTACGTATTCGTCGATAATAGAAATATATTTCAATTCTACATTCATTCATTTTGCACAGCTGTATACAGGGTTGCTCATTAGTGCGTCAAGTGCGATATCTCAGTAAATATRAACTTTACAAGAAAATACGTCCTACGAAAGTTTTTCATGTTTAAAAGGTCCACATTTTAAAATTACTTTCCAATATACCGGGTGTATCATAAACGTGTGGTAGTTACCAACTTTGGTTTTTGAAATGGAACCGCCCCTTTTTTCATTCATTTTCAGATTTGTCGTCAAAATTTAAGTTAAGTTTGTGTCAAACGTTTTACCTGAAAAATTTACGATTTCCGAGTTATTCGTAAAAATGTGAAAGTTTTGACAGCT